TAATGGCGCATTAACTTGGCTGAATAAGAAGAACAGATCTTGGAGTATACCGCACATGAAGTAAGTATAACTGTATAACTTTTTAGTATCATGACAGTGAGTGAAAATATTTTTTTGTTTCAAATACTCTTTTTTCAAAGACGAGTAGCTTGAGTCAAGCACATTTGGTTTTTTTTTGTAGAGCAAATTTCTTGACGGTGAATGTATTTTTCCGTGATATGTCCTATATGGAATATGTGCAAGTGCAAGGGACAACTCTTACAGAGACTCTCAGTAAGTCCTTTGATTTTCGTTTAAATGAGGTTTTGAAATTCATTACAGCAGGAGACTTTGTAAGAGAGTAGTTAGACATTTTGATCCTATTGAACTGAAATTCTCACATAAACTTTAAACTTCTATCAGGCTTAGAATATTTTTACGATTGGACAGTTTGAAGGAGCTTACAAACGTACATCTTATATTATCTACATAATCTCCTATGTTATATCCTATTTTCGTCCTCGTTGTTACATTGAAGCTGCGATTGTCGAATTGCTTTTCACAGGTGATATCGGCGGCAATATGGGCTTGTTCCTCGGAATGAGCGTAATTACGGTAGTTGAAATCTTGATGTACTTCTCAAAAATTGGTTGGATTACATTTTCTAGAAAGAGGAGATATTACATGTATCAAAAGAAGGCACATGAAAAGGTTCGTTGTACCTCTATGCGTTTTTATTGGATAAAAAAGAGTGCATTAGGAGCACGAGAAACAACTGGAAGAAACAGTAACCGGTTTCAAATTGTTCCGAAGTCGCAAAGAGGGAACTGATATGAGTAATACAAGAGCGAGAATTCGAGAACTTACAAATAGAGTAGTTCCCGAGATTACGGTAGGCTAGTTCTTCGCACTATTTTCTGTTAACATGTAGGATTACAGGAACACAAGTCGTCAGTGACATCGGATAGGGAAGGTGAAGCTGCTGATCGTCGATCGCGATTTATGAGCGCTGATATGGGAGTGAGTTCTCAGTATAGAAAACAAAGTTGCTATTTTGATAATGATAAGTTTAACTCTTGTTGCAAATCTATAATTTATTGTCTTAGTTACTAGCTCCCTAGAATACCCTTAATTCTCCTCATTTCAGTCGTTCTACAGCGACAATCCTGAAAAGCGAGACAGCGTTGTGAGCTGACAATTTTGCTT